TAGACAGCCATAACTTAGGTAGGTCGTATTCATTATACAATCATGTACCCCTACCGGGATTCAAACGTAAGACCTCTGAGTAGGCTACACTTTGAAAAGCAGTGTACATTACCACTCCACCGCAGAAGACGTGAAACAGGTAAACATATTATGTTATATTTTAGATATTGTTCGACCTTCGTTATATTATCGTACTAAGTCGAAATGCAAAATATTTATCATATTTCCGGCGAAATCTCTCCTTCTAATAGCAACACTAAGGTCATAAATCTTGTCAGTTGTGCTTTTGAGTCATATTAATCATGGGCTTGATGCTCTGTTTGGTTATGTTCATAATAAACATCCCACACTTAAGCAAAAACTTAAACATAACAAAATCATGCACTCGAAATTATTATAAAAATACCACACATTCCACATCATACTAAGTGATGAAAAAACTTTGTACATTGAGATTGAGTGTCTTTGTTTTTTTTGCATTTCCACGCGCGAGTGCCAATGTTTTAGATAGCTAAAGAAAGTATTTTGAAAAAACTGTACTTTCTGGGCTCACGAAATAACACTTCACTATTTTTGTTGAAAAGGTCTCTGTTAACGAAGTCACTTCCCACCAGCGGCAGCTGATAGTTTTTCAGAAAAAAAAATTACATATATATATATATAAATATATATCTTTTTTTCCCATCTTGGGAAAGGCAAAGGCAGAGCCATGCAGCCATAGTCTTCATTTAAAGGTTTATTTTTTTGTTTCTTGTTTCTATAAGGCCGAAGCCACTTCTTCAATCATAAGATATTTGTCCTAAATAGTCTTTCTAATCCATTTTCAGTTTAGGTACTTATTGTTTCCCCCAAATTTTCAAATCGGATTTTGAATTTTCTTTCTTTTAATCTTGTTTGTTAAAGTCATGAAATTTTTTAAAGTTCCATATCTATGGAAACTAAAAAGTTATATAGATATTGGTATGATTTAGGATTCATAACAATGTCTTGAATGTTGCGCGGGATTTCATTATTAGTTTTATATAATTTAATTAAATTGTCAGCTAAAACAAGTCTTTGTATATTATATGCTGTACATTCAAAAATATATGGTTTAGTGTTTGATCTTTATTTATTTGTGCATAACGGAGATGTAATTATATTCATTCTATGTAAATGTGAATTAAAACGTCCATGTCCAATTCTCAAGCGTGTGATGGTCGTATAAAATTTCCGGCTATGGTATATGGTTCTTTAGATTTTGTAAACCATGAATGTTGACCAATCACATTATTAAATTTATGATACCATTTTCCTTTTATTACCAGCGTTTGATGCCAATTAATCAACCAATCTTGTTTTAACAAAAGTTTTAGTTTGGGTAATAAATCTGAAAAAGGAAGAAGGTATGGCAACATTGCTTCGATTTAAAATGGTTCTGGCTAACGTATCAGCTTTCTTATTTCCGATGACTCCTATGTGCGATATAATAATAATAATAATTTTATTGCTCAACAAAAGTAGGTACATGAAAAGATTGAATACCCTGATTTCTATGCTAGGATAATAACCCTGTGTTACAGAAATCAGTGTCTTCTCCCAAAGATATTTTAAAAACTACTACAATTAAATGTTTCGTGTCCTGAATGTGTGTGTGTGTTTTACTACATTTTTACTGGGTAGTACGTTAAGAAAATGTTATATAAAATTAATACATATTATATGTTATATAAATACATAAATAATGAAATCGACACATAATTTGCTATTTTAAGATAGATTTTTACATCTCAGTGAAACAGAACCTAAATGTAACGTAATGTAATAGTAATGTTGAAATAGTAAATTGAAACAATACTTTAAAATGTTTACTTAATAAACATCTCAGTTTTAATATAATCTAATGTTAATAACCATTTTCTAATTTTAGACTTGGCCTCACAAAGACTAAGCGAAAAAATATCTAATTCTTTATTTAATTTATTATAAAGTATTCCAGCCAGATAACTACTTTGGCGTCTAGCAGTAGCAGTACGGTACCGCACCATCTTGCACACATTAGGTAAAGTTCGTTTACCCAAGTATAAATTTGGATCGTATGGGGTGATCTTGTGTTGTTTGCTGATAAGTTGTAAAATATACTGTTGCCTTACTGTTAGTATATCACATCTGTCATATAATAATTTTGTAGGAAATCTAAAAGGACTAAATGTCATTACTTTAAGAATTGATCTTTGAGCTCTCTCAAGTTCCAGCATGTGAGTCTTACAGGCACCTCCCCATACTCTAATGCTATATCCTAGTATGGACTGCACTACAGCAAAATAAATTGTACGTAAAAGCTTCAAATCAGCCACAGCCTCTTAAAAGCCCAGACAAGTCTCCGAATTCTTGTAGTAATTAATGCTATATGCGGCTGCCAATTTAATTTACTGTCTAATATGACTCCCAGGTGTTTGACAGAGGTGGATTTAGCAATAAGAAGACTACTACAGTCGACAGAACCCTGGCAATCACCTGAGTGCACTTTTATATCAATAGTTGGTAAATTAGTTTTGGAAAAACTGAATTGCAAATATTTAGATTTTAATATATTAAGTATAAGTAAATCTGATCGAAGCCAATTACTTACCTTTATGAGCCCCAGTTCCGCATGGTATTTTGCTTCGGCCCAAGTCCCTCCGTGAAACACCAATGCAGTGTGATCAGCATAAGTGAATAAACGGCCATTAGTAAAAGAGAACTGACACAGATCATTAATGTAAATCAAGAAGAGACTTGGGCCAAGGACACTACCTTGAGGTACTCCAAACGAAATGGAAGCGTCAGTACCTAAAACATCATTTATTCTTACTCTTTGAGTCCTGCAGCTTAAAAAGCTCTTAAAAATAGAAAGTGCTTCACCACGTATTCCAGCCTGTTCTAGCTTGACAACAAGGATAGGGATGGAAACTGTGTCAAAAGCCTTTGCCAGGTCAAGAAAGATGCCCAAGCATTTTTGTTTTGACTCCGTAACATAGTCGATCAGTTCCACAACAGCATCTTCAGTACTAATACCACGTCTAAAACCGAACTGACTATTTGATAAAAAGTTAGTGCTGTTTAAGAAACCAAGAAGACGTGTGTTCAAAAATTTTTCAAGTACCTTAGAAAGTGCTGTAAGAACAGATATAGGCCGATAGTTGGTGACATCGCTAGTGTCCCCACCCTTGTGTACAGAAGTAATAGTGGCTCGCTTAAATACCTTCGGAAAGACACCTTGCTTAATGCATTTTTCGATAAGTTTAGTAAATTGAGGAACAATAATGTGTCTAACTAATTTCAAAAACTTAACGGAGATGCCGTCCCACCCAACAGCACAGTCGTTTTTGAGATTTAAGATAATGCTATCTATCTCTTTTTCATCAGGAGGCAACAGCACCATAGAACTTGAGGAACGGTTGATCAGTGTAGCACCAGTAACAGAGCCTGGTGTGTCGAGCTTACTTGCCATTCGTTTGCCAACATTAGCAAAATATTTATTTACTTTCTCCAGGGCTTCTACATTGTCTGTAGCATTATGAAGAAGATCACAAGCTGTAACTTTTTTTTTATGTGTATTAATAATTATTTTAACTGCTTTCCATTTATCTTTGCAATTTTTTGCACTCTGTAATTGATTTCTTTCGTAATTTAGTTTTAGTTTCCTTAAAAGAGTATTACAGAAATTGCGATAACGTTTTTATGTAATCTCACAAGTATAGTTCTGTGGATTATTGTCAAACTCCTTGCGCAGTCTATCTCTCTGTCTAATACAACGCAACAGTCCCGGTGTGATCCATGGCTTCGTAGTTGGCTTCCGACAGGGCACCCTAACTTCAATAGAATTTAACCGAATAGTTTTCGATAAGATATCCACAAAAAAATTCGCAATATTATCAGCGTCGCTTAAAGACTCGACAAAAGAGAAATCAATTGTGTCTAAATATTTTATTGCTGCCTCATAGTTTGTTTTCGTGAACATTTTGACCTTTTCGGCTTTGTTCACGCTTTCGTTGCAAATGCATAGCAGTATAGAGGCGTGATCAGTGACTGTTGAGTTGAGAACATAGACAGAGGCAAGATTATTAGTTTTAAGAAATACATGATCCAGGCAGTTATTCAATCTAGTTGGAAACGTATGTGCCGGTAAAAGCCCAAGTTCAGAAGTAAGGTTTAAGTAACTTGAACTGTTCCTATCTTGATTATTTAATTTTATATCAATATTCATGTCACAAACCAAAATTACTGTCGCATCCGATGACAGAAGTTGAATAATAGATTCCAGGGATTTCAAAAATTCTTCAATGCTATTTATTGACGGAGACCGATATATTGCTATTATGTAGGTATTTGGGAGAAGTTTAAGAACAAGAAAGCCGGCACCCAAACTTTCGGGTTCCTCTACTGTGCATTTGATACCTTGGCGAACATAAATAACAATTCCATCATTTTGGTTTTTCAATTTTTCGGTGTAGTAAGCATCATAATTTTGCATATCGGGTATCGGTTTCTGCTTACTAAGCCAGCACTCCATAAGAATTATAATGTGAGTTTCAAATGTAAGTCGAGCAAGTTGAGTGTTGAAGTCGTCTAAATTCTTATATATGCTGCGAATATTTTGTGTGATTATTTTCAATGTAGAAGTCGAGCGATCCACCATAGGGTGGAGCGTCAATGTATGGAGAAAAAAAAAAGTCATCGAATTGATTTTGAATATCTGCAAAAAGTTGCTATTGTAAAAATTATTTAATCTAGTTTCATTTATTTATTTTGACATATTTTTTAGCCCTCTACCTAAGCTCAAAGTTGCAATAATTTTATTAAATTAGGTAAACCATTAAACATGCATAGAACATTACAAAAATCAAAATCGTATTATATTTTAGCGTAAAGGTATCAATAAAACATGCATTTTATAAATTATAATATTTATATAGAAAAAAAACATAAAATTTGAGATATTAAATTGAAAGAAAAATGTGTTGAATCGTAAAAAAAACTATAAATTACTACTTTTTTTGTATCTTTAAATCTTTATTTGTTTCTAAATATGGCATAATTGCACGGGATTTTATTTTAGAACGAATAAATCAATATCTGGCTTTTTCGCCAACTACACTAAACGATGCTTCAGACCCCATCTTGATATATCGCTTTACTGCTTGTGTATGACAAGGAAAATCCGACAACTCCAATGTAATATTGGAGTTTGATGCAACCACGTCTTCCACTTGTAACTGATATCTTTTAGCACTAGAGGTGATGTAACTTGTGACTCGCTCCATAAAATCATATCAGTGTAGTCATTGGCATCAAAGTTTATCTTCAGAACTCTTAAGTATTCTTAGCCCAAGTTTTGAATTTTGTCTTGCTGCGATTATTCGCCTTAATCCCAATTTTCTAACATGTGGCCGATTGTCGTAAAGCATAGCAACAATAACAGGTTTTCAGGATGTACAGAAATATAATTTCTTTGTATAACTTAATCGATAACCTTTTTTATGTCGGAGCTCAAACATCGAGAGAAATAAATTAATTTGTAGACGTGAGTTGGGCCTAGTTTAAATGAACTATCTTTCTTTATATAAAACCATAAAGAAGCATTTACAATATATTCTGTGAGTTTAATTAATTGTCGTGACGGATTCGGTGTGGTCACATATAATCTCAAGATTCTGTTAGCCGTTGTTAACCAACGTGAATGAACCATTTTTCCAGGATTTCTGTTAGACAAAACTTGAGAACATGATCCGCTGCTTACTGCTTGATAGATTTGGTATAAATATTCCTGATCTGTACTTAGACTACTTTCAATTTCCTTCGGTAAAACAGGCACGTTTGACAAGATAGCAGAAAACTTTAAATTTTTCAGTTTGTTTAGATTTTGGATAGCGTAAAAATACAAGTACATATCATAATTGTTTTTAAAAATTTGTTTTACAAGTTGTATGTTTACGGTTGGTAAAGAAGCCGTAGTCCACACTTTTATGAGATCAATTGCCACTGCATCGAATACTTTAGAAATAGAAGGCTCTTTGCCATTTCCAAAGAAAAAAAAGAAAAATGCTACATCAAATGTAAACAGCTCTACTTACAAAAATACTTGCGATTTTTGTTTATTTTCTTCACTTCGACGTCATATTACTATAAAATTTATATTAAGTTTATTAGCACATTGGCCTTTTATAAATAAAATTTATAAATTCTAAGGTATTACGAGTTACAATAACAATAAAAGAAATGTTCATTTCTTATCATAATGATGCTTCATAAATAACCTTGATTAGATGATTTTTCACAATTTTCAAGCGGCAGTAGAGAGCTAAAAATTGCTTCCAATATTTTTTTTATTATTTTATTTGTATATTTGAGAATGTAATGCAACTTTCTAGTACTATTCAATATTGAAAATAAAAAATATTTTTTGACGCTCCACCCTATCCACCAAGGAGTTGCAATGTTCTATATGACAGTTGTGTGCAGTGGCAACAGAAATATTGTCAACATCTGTAGATATTTCTTGGAAAATTAAGTTAGCCATTTTTATTGTAATTATTAGATGGTGATTTACATAAGTACTGGTGTGGTACAGTATGACACTCAGCAATATAGTGGCAGTAAAATATTAAACAGTAAAGTGAGAAGCCCAATTTGCAATTAGAAATTGGTATGTAAATTTTATGCAACATCTGCAAATTTAAAATAAGTTTTATGTTTTGTTTATATAATCTTTGGATTATTATTACTCGATGACAGTTGTAAATAAATATTTTATAATAATGGGTAAATTGTAACCCATTTTTACATTAGTGTTGATTTTGATTAGAATTTTCCTATATATAATATTTCTATGGTATATAATGTTAAAAAAACAAATGAATTAAAAAGAATTAATTAGAATAAATAAGGCATGCGTAAGTAAGTAAGTAAAATAAGTTGGAGTGTGCTTTGTGAGTCTGATTCACATTTTATTTTGAAGTAACGCGATTCATCGTCCCGCCGAACATAAACAAAACCATGAGATGTCCAACAGTATTTCAGACCGTGGTCTTTTGCAAAATTTCTCGCTACATAGAACAGGCGCTGGGTAGCAGGTGTTAAACTTTCAGATAAATAAACAGGCTTAGAAGGGCCTTCAACTTTCAGATGACCAGTATTTAACTTGTTTTTAACGTTTTTGTTGTTAAACTGCCGATATTTTTTAATAAATAACTCCTTTGTAGAAACGCTATTAAAGTCTACTATAATAGGCGATGGGCTTTTCTTCTTGTGAATCCGTGTAATATCTTTGATCTCATGGTCCTGTACGGAGACCTCAAATACACTAGCCATTTCCGTTACTAATTTTAGTAGATCTTCTTTATTTTCCTCTTCATTCTTCGGAATATTTCTTATTTCTATCTTAGATAAATGTAGGATGCGCTCAAAATTTTCCACCTTCTCCTCCAATCTCGTGATATAGCTATGATCGGCTTTGCGTTCCGCCTCCAAAAAATCAACACTCAACCTCATATCGTCGTATTCTTTAGAGATAAAACTAATAGACTCTTTTATTTCCAAATTTTGTGCAATTATTTCTGCCATCGAAGACTGTAACGAAGTAAAGGACTTGGTAAAGTTTTGTATGAGCGACTGCCCTGGTAATGTATAAAGACTGTACTTAGTAATATTTAATGGTAAATGGCTGAATATTTATAATTTCTATGAAACAAGGCTCAAGAACTTTTGATAAAGTCACAATCTTGAAAATTATGAAAACTCCTACTATGTCATTACCTTACTTACAGTTGATAAAAGATGTTGCCAATTATTTACAGAGTCATCAATTTCCCATTTTCTTAGAATCTTTCTTCCCATTTCTCTGATTAACTCTTCACAAAATACTTTCTAATTATTATTTCGATATACTTACACAAATATTTTTTGTGTACATTTATTGTTCATTTATTCTGTAAAACGGAACATTTTGCTTTTGAAACAGACATGAAGTCAATTTTTATACTTTTTAATACTTGATTATTTCACGAAAGTTCTATTTGAATAATAAACACGTAATAATTAATAAGAAAATATTGTAAAGTTACGGGCTAGTGCGAAATATTTATACACGTTAAGGGCAGTTTCTTAGCCATGTCCTTTACTATCCCACTTTGCTGACGATGTAGTGATTAGTGCCCAAATTTCCTCCATTAAAGCAGCAGACTCATCTATGCGTTTTCTTTTGAAGCGCAATGCGGTATTATCTTGCTCAACCGATGTTAAATCCGGTGTTGAACCAGATTGCCCGAGCGCGCAAGTACTCACGCTAGTCGCGTCCTTATCACATGCTTCCTCGGTCGGTTTTTTAGTTGGTGTCCTCTTTAAAGGCATTTCACTTGGTATAAGGTTGAATTTCAAATGTATATTCGTGGATGAAGCTCACTGTTCCGTAGCGCTAGCAGTATATCGTAGTCGCGTATCGTAGTCTGTCCGTAGCCCGTTTATAGCTAATGCTACGACAATTCTGCAAGTAAGATCCAATATTTTGACCGTTTGAGATTAGCTTCGTGTGCGCCGCACGCATGGACGACACCTTTAACTCACTGGGACCGAGTTCAAATCCACGCCTCGACACTTGTAATTTGTAATTTTTAAATTTATTTAACAAAAAACAAACACACGACACTGTGGACACGCGCAAACGCTTTCGCGATCCGAGAGGAAGAGGAACCCATATTAAAACTATTTGTACATTGAGGACTTGAAGTTTGTGGTACATTTTTTTAATATCATGTAAAATAAAATTACTTCAAGAGTCAAATCTATTGTTTCGCAAAGCTTGTAAACAACTCATGCTGTCTGTTAACCCCAACCGCCTACGCTGTTTCTTCTTCATATCAATGATATGCTTCAAATTGATGGCATTCATTGTTATGCAGACGACAGCACGGGTGATGCCCTATATACCGGCCGCGCCAACATTTCACGGGAAAACGTCCTCGAGAGCCGGAACAAACTTGTGTCTGAAATCGAAACTTTGTTAAAGCAAGTAACGAATTGGGGCCAATTTAACCCTACGAAGACACAAGTATGCGCGTTTACCGCAAAAAAAATACCATTTGTCGTATCTCCTCTCTTTGAGAACACTCTTCTAACTGCCTCAGCTAGTATTGGAATTCTTGACGTTGACATATCGAGCGACGTGCAGTTTCGGGATCATTTAGAGGGCAAGGCCAAATTGGCCTCTAAGAAGCTTGGTGTGCTCAATAGATCGAGAATGTACTTCACACCGGCCCACCGACTGATACTTTATAAGGCACAGGTTCGGCCTCACATGGAGTACTGCTCTCATCTTTGGGCGGGGGCACCCCGTCTACCCCAGTACCAGCTTCTCCCTTTAGATCGCATCCAGCGCCGAGCGGCTCGAATCGTCGACGACCAGGACCTTTCCGATCAGCATGATCCTTTGGCTTTGCGTAGGGATGTAGCATCGCTCTGCATCTTCTATCGCATTTATCACGGAGAGTGTTCTGAGGAATTGTTCGGATTAATTCCAGCTGCTGCATTTCGCCATCGTACATCGCGACAAAAATTTTATCCCCATCATCTTGATGCGTGGCTATCTACAACCGTGCGTTTTTGTTGAAATTTTTTACCACGTACGACAAAACTGTGTAGTAATAGGACAATACCCCAGGGGGGTACCAGCTGTTTTCACGCTGGAGAATCCCCCTCTGGACGTCCATGCCCAGAACTGTCTCCTTCTGGACGTGGACGTCGAGGCTGCCCTTCATATTCTGGGGAGGGCGAAACCGCGCTCATTACTCAAACTGCTCGAGGCCACAGCAAGCGTCATACGACACCCCCTGCCATGTTTAACGTGGATTTCTGCAACATCAGGGGCTTACACTCCAACCTTAATGCTGTTCACTACCACCTTCAGACAGTGCAGCCGGCCTTGCTTTTTTTGACTGAGACCCAAATATTCTCTCCAGCCGACACCTCCTACCTCCAGTACCCTGGATATACTTTGGAACATTCCTTTGTACCACGGGCTGAGATATGTGTGTACGTTAAAGAGGGTATCAGTTTCCGTCGCCTCAGCAACTTTGAAGGTAGGGACCTCTCCATCTTATGGTTGCGTGTAGACGTCGATGACCATCCCCGCGTCTACGCCTGCCTCTACAGGTCCCATAGCGGAAATGCCGAAATTGACCGACTCTATGATCACGTCCAAGTGGCTACAGACTCCGTGCTTCAGCAGATCCCATCATCTGAAATCGTGATCCTTGGTGATTTCAATACCCACCACTCCGAATGGTTTGGATCGCCCACTACCGATCATGCAGGCAGATCTGCTCACGACTTCGCCTTGGCCTATGGTCTGACACAACTGGTCACCTCGCCTACGCGAATCCCAGATGTCGAAGACCTTCACTGTTGGACCTTCTGCTGACTTCACATCCGGATAATTACAAAGTGTCCATAGATGCCCCTCTTGGCTCCTCGGACCATTGTCTAATCCGGAGTATGGTGCCACTAACTTACTCACCGCGGCCGCAATTTGCTGGCTGTCGTCGTGTGTGACACTATAAGTCAGCAGACTAGGATGGGATGCGCACTTTCTTTTCATCCTACCCTTGGGGCCAGGTTTGCTTCTCGCAGAATGATCCCAACGTCGCTGCCGATTCTGACGCCGATGTTGTCCTTCAGGGTATGGAACTTTTTGTTCCTTCGTCTGTGGTTCCTATTGGTGGCAAATCCCAGCCTTGGTTTGGTCACTACTGTAAACTGGCATCTCGCCAAAAACAGATGTGTTATCAGGCCTGGGCAAACGCAGTGGCAGTCAGGGATAACAACACTAGCGATCTCAAAAAGAAGTATAACTTAGCCTCCAGGTCCTGCAAAAGTAATTGCCAGAGCGAAGTCGGATCACATTAGCAGCATTGGCGAGAGATTAATAAAACTTCCCTCTGGAACCCGCGCGTTTTGGTCTCTTGCTAAGGCTGTTGAAGGAAATTTTTGTAAGCCATCCCTTCCACCCCTGCACAATGGCGACGAATCGATGGCCCATACTGCAAAAGAGAAAGCGGATCTTTTATGCTCACTCTTTGCGTCTAACTCGACTCTAAATGACAGGGGATACATACCGCCGACCATACCACATACGGTGTGAGAGCTCTATGCCGGAGATCCGGTTCACACAAAGCCTCAAGTCGAGTGGGCCTGATGGAATCTCACCAATTGTGCTGAAGACATGTGCTCCTGAGTTGGCTCCGGTACTAACGCGTCTTTTCTG